ATGTATTCCTTTGCCCTCTTAGCCCCTGCACCCTTGGAAAATGCAGATACTCCATGCCAAATGAAAAGATGGTGATAGCTCTCTTTGGGATATTGCTAATGGAGGAACAAGGGAATTTGGGGGGACGTGGGTGTACACAGGGTATGAGTTTCCTACAGATATTATAACTAATTATCATAAACTTGACTTAAGGCAATACACAATAGTTCTCTATAAATCCGGAGGTCAGAAGTCTGAAATCAGCATCAATGGGCCTAAAGTTAAAGTGTCAGCAGGGCTTTACTTAAACTGCAAGAGTCACCTTGCAACCTGAGAGTCTGTGGGGAGAGTCTGTTTCCTTGCCTTTCCAGTTTGCAGAGCTGCATTCTGCAGCCCGGGCTTCTTCCTCAGTCTTCAATGTCAGCAGTGACAGGGTCTGGCTTCGGCCTTCATATTGCCTGTCTCTTCAGTCACGTCTTGTTTTTGTTTTGCTTTTAAGACAGGCTCTCACTGTGTAGCTCTGCTTGGTCTGGCACTCACTCTGTAACCAGACTGGCCTTGAACTCACAGAGATCAATCTGCTTCTGCCTCCCAAAATAAAGACTAGTGACACCCTTTGGGCTAACTCAGATAACCCAGAATAACCTATTTTAAGAATCCTAATCACACACTTGGGGGGCAGAGGCAAGAGGATCTCAGTGAGTTCGAGGCTGGTCTGGTCTACAAAGTGAGTTCCAGGACAGCCAGGACTGTTACACAGAGAAACCCTGTCTCGGGGAAAAAAAAAAAATCCTAATCACATCTGCTAAGTCCCTTTCACCATGCAAGATAATATCTATAGGCTTCAACAATTCTGACCTGATATGTGTGAGGGTCAATATTCAGTCCATCATGGGTAAGTAAGGATTCATTGAAGTGCACTCAAAATTTGTGCAATATTTTTGGGCATGGTGGCATATGCCTGTAATCTCAACACTGTAGAAATTAAGCCAGGAGTTGCGAGTTCCAGGCCAGCCTAAGCTACACAGTGAGACCTTGTCTAAAAAAAAACATTATGCATTTTACCATCTACAAATTATATCACAGCCCCAAACTGCAAAATATTCAGAAAAGAGATAAAGATTTAAGTTCAACTAATAAGGAGTTAAACATCTATTAGGTAGGTCTCTGTAGATGTAACCATCTTATTAAATAAGAAACACAGAGCCAAATGCAGAGTTAAAAGCCCAAGAGGTCAGAGCAGTAGCTAAGAGCTGAGACTAAAACCGCCTTCTTATCCATTACAATTTTTAAATGAGCTGTACAAACATAATACCTTAAACAAGAGTAGAAATATACACACAGTATAACAAAATGAACTTTAAATTTGTATCAATAAACTAAAATCTATACCAATGTAAAACATTTCAAACAAGTCGTTGCTCTTTAAAAGTAGGTTCAACAATCTATCCTTTTATCCTATCATTATCTATACGATCCCCTTTTTTTCTTTAGAAAGAGATTGCATTTATAAAAATATTGGTTTTTCTGTGTCCCTTATCAGAGGTCTCCTTTCTTCCCACTGAGCAGATCACAGCCTGACTTCAAAGATTGGAATAAGCCCCTAAAAGGGAGAGTGGAGCTTTGAGTGTGAGTCTGATGAAAGTTAGGCCCCAAATAGACTGATTCTGGTTTTTTTTACCTTCCACGTAGTCACCAACCTTAGCAAGTTTTGGGCTTTTCCCCACATGCCAAAGCTTGGTTCCTGTCTCATTACAGTCCCAGCAGAATCGGAGCTTCTCTAGCTCTCTGGAAAGGCCTGTGAAAGATGCAGAGCAATTACCTGAGAAGGCCCTCAGGTGCATCCTGGGTCACGGATGGCACTGGCTGACTCAGCCAACTGTGAGAGGGAATACAGAAATTCTATCTAGGCGTTAGAGGAAGATATTGGAATCTGCAGGACACCTGCTGCATTTCCAGATTCTTGTAACTATAGGAATTGGACCAGGGACATCTGAACAGTGGCAGTGACAGAGACTGCTTATAAGAAAGAGAACATTTCCAATCAAGGAAGTGAACCAGAGAACTGGAACCTCATAGGCACTGGGGCTACAGGAGTTGTGACTTTTTAACGGGGCATTAATATAGCACTCACCTTTTCCACCATGTGTATTTCACACACAGATACTCCTGTCCCATACATGTAGCCTTCGGTTTTGAGTTCTAGGCTATTTCTCTGTCATTAGTTTCTTTCATATGTTAATTTTTGAGACAGGGTCTCTCTATGTAGCCTTGGCTGTCCTGGAACTCACAGAGATCCACCTTGCCTCTGCCTCCTGAGTACTGGGATTAGAGGCGTGTGCCACCACACCCCAGCCATATGTTAACCTTGATACTTCTATCTGTAGCCTACATGGGGCCCTAGGTGAGAAGGAAGGCCCAGTTCAGTCAGCCTTCTAAGCCACAGTCACAGCTATCCTCTGAGGACTAGAGAGCCCATCTCAAGGGTTGAAGACTGCGGCTGTATGTAAATACTAAAGACCAGCTAGGTCTAAGGGGAGGAGAAGAGCGATCAGAGTCCTGGATCCTCAGACCTTGAAGTTTTCTGCTTCTACATGCTTCATGCCTACAGAGATGAGGCCAAGGCCCTCATGAGAAAAACAAGAAATAGAGATAACTTGGTTGCTGTTGTTATGGAGGCCCTGGTTGCTGCAGGGACAGAAATAGCTCTAATTCCATGAGTGGTCACACAAGGTGAGGGAAGCTGCTTTAGAGCATGGACCTAGTTTTAGGGATTGGAAAGACTCAAGCTTGGCAACGGGTGGTAGGGGAAGTTATCCTAGGTCTGGGCCAAACAGATGGCAGCTACCCAGTGCCTGAAAGTGTAATGCTCTGCTAGTGTTAGCAGAGCACCTGCCCCAGGCCAGGAATGCTAGGATGCCTTCCTCTCTGATAAAAAGAAACTCAAGGAACTCTGCTCCTCCTCCACCACCTACAGAAGACTGATTCCTGCTGTATAACAGGAGCTAGGATAATCAGGGTTTCGGATTGTTATCAGGTGTCGTCGAGTCCAAAGTCCCAAGCCTTGGGGCAAGGCTACTCTTTTCCCATACTCTTGGCTTTCCCATACAGTGGCCTGGAACAGATGGTGAAAGATACGGAGACCAGGATGTCACACAAGCTGCTCAGACAAACCCAGGTCCACACCGTGTGCCCTCCTATTTTTACCCCTCACTATGCTTCACCTCCAAGAATTCCAGCTTGTCTTTGATCCCAGCCCTCACGTGTAAGGCTTCCCAAGTCCAGACCCCACTAATTCCCTTCTTAAATACATGTACCTGTAGCTGTTAGGTCTCAAACCCCAGACAAATGGCTGAAAGTGCCTATTTACATACCAAAGCAGACCTGGCCTCCTGGTTCTCCCCAGCATCCCTTAGTTACCTGTTACAGGGTATGGCTGGCATACCCCACCCCCTACCCTGAACTCTCCAGCCCAGGATCTGGGGGTCCCCTTCTCCCAGCCGCTCTTCCTTAATATAATCCAGCCATTTGGGCTACATGAGCCTTTTTACTCGTTATTACCTTTTGGCCGTTTATTGACCTCTTGGTCTCCTAGTCTCCCTCAGCATGGGCACTGGCTCATGGGTCATGGGTTACTCTGGACCCTTCCAGGGGGCCTCTTATCTACAACAAACCTTCTCTTCCACCATAACATAGGAGCAGTTAGGCCCTCCTCTTTTCTTTCTGTCTTTCTGTCTGTCTGTCTCTTCTTTCTTAGTAGCATCATCAGAACCCCCTAGCCCTGGCCTACCTCCTCAGTAACAAGCCGCTGATCTCATAGCCACTAATCAGTACTCACTAACCTGTGTTCCAAACTCTTGGCCCACTGAGCTAACTATAGCAATGTCTCATGCCACCCACCTGAACCCTATTCTTGTTTCTGTGACTCCCACCAATCTACATTCAGAGGACTGTGGGTAATAAGAGGCTGGGAGGCCAGCTTAGCAACTAGAGCAAGAGACTGGAGTAAACTCCATCTCTTTCCTCAGGTAATATTCTAAATCTCCCTGCTTCTAGCCCAGACGAAGCCTACCACCATCCTTGACTTTAGCATCTCCTTTAGGAGAGGAGAGGGGCATCTTTCCTGGTGCAAGCAATGGTTTTTCAGGCTGATATAAGAGACTTCCAGAACTCACCACCCCCAATTCATCCCTCTGAGCAGATCTAATATGTATTGAAGGAAAGCACCAGGAAGACATTTCCCTCTCTCTGGTTCCCTAGCACCTGGAGAGATGGGTGGGAAATCATGAGGAAAGTAGTAAGAAGGATGATAGATAAGGGCAAGGAGGGCTTTCAACCTCCACAGAGGCTTCTACCTCCAACACCAAGAAAGCAAGCGCAGCAACCCCTTTGCTTCTACACCTTTCCTCCTCCTTCTTTCTCCCTTTCTTTTTTCTTAGCTGGAGGCCAAAAACATGCTCACTCAGGGTCAAATCCATTCCAGGGACAAACGGAGATATAATCCAGTCATTTATCCATTCATATGGTTAATAAACATGTCTTGCCAACGACTGTGTGCCAGGTGAAGTTCGGTATCGTGCAACCCAAGAAACACATTTTAAGAGACAGAGTGGGATCAAGTGGGATACCTAGAAAGGATTAAAAATATAAGGTAGGGAGAAATCAAGGAAGACACTGGACATCTTTCTGGCTTTCACACACATGCACGCATGTGTACACACACAAACACACAGAGAAAAAGAGACAGACAGAGAGAGACAGAGATTGACTTGGAGAAAACAGGGAGGGAGGTGTTTTCCCCTTGTCCGGTAGGCTCAGTGAGTAACTAAAGAGGTGCCCTAGGAAGGGAGTATGGCAGGAAGCACTGTGTGCTGGTGTGGTATCTAAGGAAGTAGATTTCCATTACACTAGGTGCATCTCTGCGGGAGGCTGGAGTGTGATGAGGGAAATAGGGGCTAAATAACTGAGCTTTCCTCCTTCGCTCATCTCAGGCAAGATTCAACATAAATTCCTCGGCCAGCATGTCCATGTAAGAATTCCTTCTAATGCTCTGGATCTGTGCATTGTTCCTTATCCAAACCAGACTACTGGCCTTTGGGATGGAGGGGTTTATAGTTTGGGGCCCTACCCCAATTATCTCTACCCTTGCTCTATCTCGTGCTCTTGGAGCCTCTAGTTCTAATCCTAGGAATCTTTTCTGTTCCCCAAACTTCCCTTTCTTTTCTTCTTTTCTCTCCTCTTTCCCGCTCTGCCAACCCCCTTCCTCTTTCTGATTATTCACCCCATAGAGTGTTTAAGAAGAGCAGCTCCGATGGGAAGGTAAGAGAGCCTGGTCCAGCTGAGCAGATGAAAGCGCAAACGAGAGCAGTGGATACATTCTTCAAGGTCTCGGTGGGCTGGGCTCTGGGCCTCGGGACAGTTCATTCAAAGATAGCTGTGAGACTGATACAGCAAGTTCTTTCACGAGGACAGCTTTCTATCTACGTGGGGAAACGAGACTTCGTGGATGATTCAGACACCGCGGAGCCCATTGGTTAGTGAGTCCCAAGTGGGAAAGGGCCTGAGAAGGGAGTGGGAGCCAGGACGTAAAAGACAGACCAGGCATGAGCATGCAGATCAATGAGACCAACTGAAGGGCAGAAAGGGAGGAATCATTTCGGGAATCAACTTCTGTTTCACTCACACTCCAGGTTTTTCTGACCAGGGTACCACCTCTCCCTTTCTCTGCAGATGGAGTAATCCTTGTTAACCCCAAGTAATTAAAAGGTCGAAAGAGTAAGTAGAAATCCTTAACTGGTTTTTGTAAGCTGCAGGAGTCCCAACGCCACACATGCAAGATAGGCTACCTGAATGAGAGGCTTAGACCAGAGGGCATCAGAAAAACAGGAAGCAGCAGGAACTGTTAACGTTTTGTCTGCCGGGTCCTGACAACCGGGAAGTTCGGCCTAATGTAGCCACATTCTTCCGGTTATAAAAAGAGCTGGTCTTTTTTGTTATTTTGTCTTTTTTTTTTTGTGCACGCCTTTAATCCCAGCACTCGGGAGGCAGAGGCAGGCAGATCTCTGTGAGTTCGAGGCCAGCCTGGGATACAGAGTGAGTTTCCAGGACAGGCTCCAAAGCTAAACAGAGAAATCCTGTCTCAAAAACCTAAAAAAACAAAACAAACAAACAAAAAACTGGAAAGGGAGCAAGCACTTTATAGGTCCCAAATCTCAAAAGACTGTTTATTTTTCCCCAAAGAGTATTCAAAACAACTATGTTTCTAGAGAACAAATAAAACACTCTTCAAAATCACACAAAACAAACATATGTGCTGAAATTAAATTAAAATAATGTCTTTAAAATTTCTGGTTTTCCTCATTATTGATATGGTGGTCCTGCTTGACTCCTGGTCTCAGTTTAAGCTTAGTCTGCTTATGGAGTGAACCAATACACAGAAAAATCCATAATTTGCATACGTTTTCTTGACTTTCAAATGCTAACGACTCACTAAAAGATTTTTTTAAAGACCTGTATAGGTCTTTAACTATTCCATTTATTTATTTATTTATTTATTTATTTATTTATTTATTTATTTATTCATATTTTGTATGCTAAGTGTCCCTCAGACTTCCATTTTGCAAGATCTGATATATGTCATTCCATTGGGTTTTTCTTCACGTGTTTGTGTTTTTTGTTTTGTTTTGTGTGTGTGTGTGTGTGTGTGTGTGTGTGTGTGTGTGTGTGTGAGAGAGAGAGAGAGAGAGAGAGAGAGAGAGAGAGAGAGAGAGAGAGAGAGACTGCCTGAATATTCCTTTAACAAAATTCCAAAGGAATAATAAGCACAGGCAGTAACAGCAGGAGACAGCACTCTGGCAGCAGAACTCTGCTTCAAGATTGCACGGAATTATTTTCCTCTGTATTTTTCCCTTTTAATTCTCACTGTGGATTAACCCCACTGTGATCCAACTGGACTGAAAATTGGGTTCAACTGGAAAAAAGATTCAGAACCAGTTGGTGACGACTAGTCTAGAAACAGCCTTTGGATGTTGAGGGATAAAAGAGCCACCATCATCTCAAAGACTAAGCACTATGGATAAGCAATCTGGCCAGTTTTAAATATCAGAGAAACTTTGCAGTATAGCTACGAATTAGTAACAAATATTCTGTTTCTAAAATCTAAATGTTCTCCCCCCCCCCCCCCGCATTCCTAAACATGCCCAGAATAACGTAGGAAAGGAAATATTTACTTTAAAAATTGCATGTTGCTTGGCATGATGTCTACGTCTATCCCAGCACCTAAGAGGCTGAGGCAGGAAGCAAAGTACAAGTTTAAGGCTGGGCTAGCATGCATAGTGACTTTCAGGCCAATGGAGCTACATGGTCAGAACTTATCTCCCCCTAAATTGCACATTTACTCAGAAATTAGATATATTTTTTCTTTTTCTTTGAATTTTCTTTTATGTCTCTTTAGTAGGGTTTTATATTATTATTCATTTAAATCATACATCGGAAATTTACTCTCAGTTGTATGTTTTGTTACATTATGAATGTCCCCTTACTTTCATCATATTTTCTCATGTCCTTTTCTATTAAAGATGTATGTTTTAATGTAAAGTTGCATATTCTATGCCATTGAGTGCTAAAGGCAAGTGAGGCAAAAGATGTGGGGATATGAATACAATACTGTTTAACAACATTCTGTCTGGCCTCTGTGTTATTTCTTACAATTGCATGTGACTGTACAGTGGTCACAAAATTTAAAAAAGTTTAATTTCAAAAATGAAATGAGAGATAAGTTATAAGTACCTAAGATGACTTTGTGTTCAGTTACAGAAACAAAACAATTTGGAACACATCACAACAGATAACATGGCAGTTATCTCTGGAATATGATGTGTGGTAGAGCTTTGAATTCTCTTTTTCATTATACTTTCGAATACTCATAAATTTGTATGTATATGCTTTATATAATTAAAACAAAAATGGATAAATTTAGAGTAGATGTTGACTTTTAAAAGAAAATAAAAGCAAGCTACTACCAGATCTGGTAATATAGGCCTGTAATCCCAGTAACTGGGAGTGGGGGGATAGGGGGTGCTGTAGGATAATGCTTTTGTACACTGGTTTAATAAAACGCTGATAGGCCAGTGGCCAGGCAGAAAGTATAGGTGGGATAAGCAGCCCAGGAGAATTCTGGGAAGAGGAAGACTGAGTCAGGAGACACCAGCCTGCCATCCAGGGAGCAGCATGTAATGGCATACAGATAAAGCCACGGAATAAGTGGCGGTGACATATAGATTAACAGAAATGGGCTGAGTTTAAGTGTAAGATCTAGTCAACAGTTAGCCTGAGCTAATGCAAACAGTTACAAATAATATTAAGTCTCCGCATGATTATTTTATAAGCAGGCCATGGGACTGCAGGGCCCAGGCAGGACTGGAGAAACTTCTAGCTACAGGGGGGTCCATAGGCAGGAGGATCACAAACAAGTTCAAGACTGAGCAATTTAATGAGATCTTGTCTCAAAATAAAAAGTAAAAAGAAAGTTAAGCGGTAGGGTGCTTACCTGGCATGTATGAGAGCCTGTGAGTTCGAGGCCAGCCTAGTCTACGTAGTGAGTTCCATGCCAGCTAGAGCTACGTAGAGAGAGTCTGCCTCAAAAAAGGCCATAGCCTTGATCCCTATAATCAGCACACTGCCACCAAAAGCAGCAGTCTGAAGAAGGCAGGGTGAGGGGGCAAATGAAAGAGATAAGGAACTAGACAGGAAAGGGTCTAGAGACCCCGGAGGAGAGGTTGTCAACCAGATAGATTGTTCCTGGAGTACCTTGCTATGAGTGCCTAGCGTGGGCCATGGAAACAGCAAAGCCAGTCCATGCTGCCTTACCTCTGATTTGACCTCAGTGGTTTAGCACCATCCCTTCCCTCTGCTGGGAAATAGCCTTCTTCTGAACTGCAAAGGACGGCTCAAAGAAAGCAAAGGACTGAGAGGGCAAGGGGATGGGAAGAGTTGTCTTGCAGGGCTAGGGGTCTGGCTTGGTGGTAGTGTGAAGCCTAGCATTTCAGGAGGACTAGTCTCTTGGAAGGCAGAAGCAGATGGTGTTCTGTGAGTTCGAGGCCAGCACTTAGGACACTTTTATACATATCTTGTATATTGTGATCATATTCATCCCCCATTACTCTTCCCCATTCCTGAGGATCTCCTCCTTCCTAACCATTCCCCTTCTACTTTAGTCTGCTTTCTTGTTTTGGTGTATGAGGCAGTTACGGATCATGTATACCATATGTAATAAGTTACTTTCTATTCATGCATGGCTGTCGAGAGTTCTCTGTTTTGAGACCCCGGATAGACTTAAAGTTACCCATCTCTGCTCTCCACCTTTCCTTGATTCCATCCCAGTCACCTTAGTTTTGGAGTATACCTGCCTACCCCATCCCACACTCCATTACTATATTTCAGAGGCTTTCTGTCTACCCCTAATCTTAGATAACAGCTCCAAAGTATAGTTTGCTTGTACCTATTCCATTTTTGCCAAGATTTCTATCATCATCATCATCATCATCATCATCATCATCATCATCAATCATTTATGTCTATGGATGTTTCCAAATAAAATTCTTTTTCTTTGTTTGTTAAAGACGGTGTCTCATGCAGCTCATTCTGGCCTTAAACTGACTTTGTAGCTGAGGTTAGTCATGAAGTCCTGATCCTCCTGCCTCCACCTCCCAGGTGCTGGAATTACATCTAAACACCACATTAGGCTTCAAAGAAATTCTTTATACATTAACTCATTATAACCATCTTCTGAGTGAAGTTTGGTACAAATGAGTCTAGGCTCTGGAGTCTAAATCTGTGTGAGTTGTGAGTTGAAGTCCTGAACCTGGCTAGGGATGTAGCTTAGTTGACAGAGTGTTTGTCTAGCATGCATGAAGTCCTGGGTTCAGTCCTTACCACTACAGAAACCAGATATGGTGGCATATCCTCAGAAGTTCAAGACCACCTCAAGCTACATAATACCTTGTGTCAAAATAAATAAATAAATACATAAATAAGTAGAAGGAAAGGAATCCTGAACCATTGACTGATTTTTTCTTTACTTAAGGATTGTTGTGAAGTCTACATAATAGAGTTATGGCTCACAGTACAGTACTATTTATATATTGAGGGCATGTATGTGTTGTATGTACATGACAGTAGTACATACATGTGAGTGTGTGGGTATGCATGCCTGTTCACCCACATGCTGAGGTCAGAGGAGCCCTCCAGGTGTCTTGCTCTATAACTCTCCACCTTATTGAGCAGAGATGAGGGTCTCTCACTGAACTAAGCCCATCATTTTGGATAGGCGGAATGGCCAGTGACCTGGGATCTGATTTCCCCAGCTCTGGCCCTCTTTTTGCCAGTTATACTAACAGGGTCCAGGAAAGCCAAGGGATTTGTATAAATCCTATTAAAGTCCAGGTATCCTGACCCTCCCTAAATCCTTTCGAAATGTTGTTGTTACTATTATGTGTTTGTATGTGCACACATGTATATAATAATGTATATAATATATGCACACGTCACTGTAGAGGTGAGTGGAGTGTGAGTGGAGGTCAGAGAACAACTTTAGAGTGTGGCAGCTCCCGCCTTTCATCTGGAGATCTCGCTTGTTTTTGCTCCTCTGTCTAACTGACCCATGAATTTCTGGCCAGTTCTCCTGCCTCTGCTCCCATCTCACCTTATGAATGCAGGGATTACAGATGCAAAGCCACCACTTCCAGCTTTTTGTGGGTTCCAGGGATTAAAATGAAGTCATCCAGCTTGTGCAACCAACACTTTTACCTATTGAGCTATCTTGCTGGTACCTGACCCTAAATCTTGTTAGCTCTTTTAAACTATTAAATATTTCAGGCATTAACAATTATACCTACTACCTAGGTTTGAAAAGAACTATAGAACCTGAAGCTTCCTGTGTCCTTCTTTGTGTCTCTCTCCCTCATCCTTCTCTTTTCTCCTACCCAGATAACCATTCTCCTAGATTTGGTGTTTATTTGTTCCATGATGCTTGTATACTTATACTTCACATTTATATATCTGCAGCCAATATTTATATTGTTCCATAAAGTTTTAAGCTTTATATAAACGATAACACACTGCACATTTAATTCTGCTGTTAGAAGTTTTTTTACTCACATTTTTTAGATTTAATCATGTTAATATATTTATTAATCCATTAATGCTGCTATACCAAAATAACCAAGATTGGGTGATATATAAGGAAAAGAAATTTACTTTCTCACCATTCAGTAGCCTGGCAAATCCAAGTTCAAATGATTAGCATGTTCAATTCTCTGGTAAAGGCTTCTCTTTGCATCTAAAATTGTGCCTTATTGCTGGGCCCTCCAGAGGGGAGGAATGTTGTATCCTTAGGTGGCAGAAGGTGAAACAGAAAAAAAAAGATGGAAGCTACATAAGGCTTCTCTAATAAGGGCCTTAACCCCATTCATAAGAGAAGATGAGAAAAGATTCAATTTTACTAGAGAGCACCAGTTTTCCAAATTGGTTATATTAATGTAGCTCCCATCAGTCATTCATGTGAAATTCAATTGGGCTACATCGTCATGAACACTTAGTGTTATCTGGCTGTAATATTTTTGACAGTCTGATCTGTATGAAATGTTATCCCACTGTGGCTTTAATTTGAATGCATCTGATTACTGCTGAGACTACACAAATCATTGGCCATTCATTCTACTTGTGCTTCTGCTAAGAATCCATCCTCATTCTTTGCAAACTTTTAGAATGGCATACTTTTTACTGATTTGTAACAGTTATTTTGTTCATGTATGTGTGGAGGCCAGAGGTCAACCTTGAGTGTCGTTCCTTAACAGGCACCACCTACTGTGTTTTCTAAGACTGGATCTCTCACTGTCCTGGGGCTCACTGGCTAGGCTAGGCTGGCTGGCCACTGAGCCCCAGGGATCCACCTGTCTCCACCTAGCAGCGCTAGGATTGAAAGCACGTACCACTATCACGCCCCACCTTTTCACGTGGGATCAAATCCATGTCCTCATGCTTTCGCAGCAAGCTCTTTGCCAACTGAACTATCTCCTCAGCCTTCCAGAGTTCTTTATATTCCAGATGCTAAACTGTTATATGTGCTTCAAATATTTTAACTCTGGATTTCTTTTTTTTTTTTCTTTGTGAAACTTTTAACACAGAGACGTTTAAAAATTTGCTGCAATCAAATGCATTGATCCTTTTCTTTATGGCCATACATTTTGGATTATATTAGATTGCCTCTCGGGGTCCTCCTGTCCCCCATTTATGATTTCCTTCACCACTGGTCTGACGAGTCACTCTCCTTCGCCTGCAGTGTTTGCCATGTTGACATGTGCCTTTCGCTATGGCTGTGAGGACTTGGATGTGATTGGTCTGACATTCTGCAAAGATCTCTAAATACAGGCCAAGCAGGTGGCTCCAGCTGAACCCACCAGCATCCAGGGCCCCCTCACAGCTTTACAGGAGCGGCTTCTGCACAAACTCGGGGCCAGTGCCTACCCTTTCACACTTCAGGTACTGCCTTCAAGTCTCAGGCAGTTTCCAGAGAAGATTAAGAGAGAGAAGGACAGGAAAAGGTGTCCCTATTTTGCTGAGCTCCTTTTGCTTTCTTAGATGGCTGCTAACCTGCCCTGCTCGGTGACACTGCAGCCTGGGCCTGAAGATCAAGAAAGGTAGGGAAGACAGTGAGCTAGTCACCTTTCCACCAATGATATGATCAACTTCAAAGGAGGCACGGCATTTTCTTGTCTTTTTCCCCCCTCATGGTTCAGTCTATGGAAACTCAGTTGATTTGGGCTTGTCGCATCATAGTACATCATGATGGGAGCATATGGCCAAAGAGGTCTGGGCACCTCATAGTGTCCAGGGAGCAAAAAGAATACCAAGAAGTGCATGTTTGCAATAACCAAACTTCCTCAATCTCTCTTAAGAGGTTCCAACTCTTACAGTTTTCACCACCTCGCTATAGAATCATCAGCTAGGCTGGCTGTGGTGGTGTACATTTTTAATCCCAGCACTTGGAAGGCAGAGATAGGCAGAGCGCTGTTGAATTCGAAGCCAACCTGGTCAATACAGTGGGTTCCAGGTCAGCCAGGGCTATACAAAAAGAAAAGAAGCACAAGCTGGCGCCAAGCCTTTAATTCCTAGGCATCTAGGGTATGTTTTGGATCCAAACAATAGCGACTAGATAGACATGTAGTTACAATGGGGCATAGGAAGAGAGACAGGTGGACAAGATTGGAGAAACGGACAGCTAAGGGATGAAGACATTTTCATGTAGTCCCGCAAGGGAGGGGGGATAGAACTGGAAATGCATTTTCTTTGTTCCTGATTCTTTCCAGCCTTGTGGGGTTGACTTTGAAGTGAAGAGTTTATGTGCAGAAAATCTGGATGAGAAAATCCCTAAGAGGTACCCCTTTGGTCTTCCTCAAATCCTTGCCTTTAGCCTCTATCACAGACCCTGCTCTTAGGACATAAACGGGCCTAGTGATAGCATCACTGTCACCAGCATGGATGTCCTGTTCTGAGTCCCTCTGATTTCACTCCTCTTCTTCACTCTAGGACATGGGTTGGCAGACATGTGAAAAGCCAAACGACACATATTTACATTTTGTGGGCTATCATAACTCTGCGGTTGTTGTACTGGAACAGTCATAGATACTATAGAAATGAAAACATGTTGCTGGATTCTAACAGAACTGAATCCATGGACACTGACATTTGGATTTTATATAATACCTATGTTACAGAATATGGCTTTTTTATTTATTTTAGCTATGTACAACTGTAATCAGGGTTCTTAGACTGCAGGCCATAGATAAACAAGAAACAGGGCAGATTTAGTCAGTGGTCCACTTTGCAATCCCTTGGTCTACAGAACATCAAGGATTCAAGGCATTCTCTGAGGGAAGTCTTTCTCCACGCCCATCCCCAAGTAAATAGAGAGCTTTAAGGATAGTATGAGGTGGTCTGCGGTTCCAGAATGAGACTTTGATCATATCCCTTGGCCTCTCCTCAGTGATTCTGTGCAGCTGGTTATGAGGAAAGTGCGGTTTTCAGCCCTGGAACCAGGCCCTGGTCCCTGGGCACAGACCATTCGCAGCTTCTTTCTGTCGGCTCAGCCCCTACAACTCTAGGCCTGGATGGACAGAGAGGTTGGTGACACCTCCCCACCCCCGCCATATCCTATTCCTTACATTAGAACCGCTCTGCTATCTCTTTTTACTAATGTCTTAGCTTGGGTAGGCAGAGATGGGAATCAGGGCAACAACAGTTTTAAGGAAATGAAAATTCTAGATCTAGGTCTGGGTGTCTTCCTTCTAACCTCCTGGTTCAGTTCACTACCATGGAGAAGCTATTTCTGTCCATGTTTCTATCCACAACAAGGTCATCAAAAGAATCAAGCTTGCAGGTGAATGCTCTGCATCTGACCCCCAAACAAACAACGAGTTCTAAAACACAGCTGCACTTCTTACCCATTTATCTTAGTTTTCTTTCCAAAACAGACCTATCAAAAGATGTGATCACTACTGGGTGGTGGTAGCACACACCTTTAATCTCAGTACTGGAAAAGGAGAGACAGGAGGATCTCTGTGAGTTCGAGGCCAGCCTGGTCTACAGAGCAAGTTCCAGGACAGCCAGAGCTACACAGAGAAACCCTGTCTGGAAAAAAAAACAACCAACAAACATGTGATCACATCTTACTGCAGATGTATAGGATCACATCAAAGGGCAGTAAGCTGGGGTCACAAGGGTGATTGCCTGATTAGTCATGTCCTTTCCCTGGCTTTTTCAATTGTGCAGATCACAGATGTTGTCCTGTATTCACTAGACAAGTACACGAAGACTGTGTTCATTCAGGAGTTCACGTGAGCTGCTGCTGGGGCTAGGGAAAAAGTCACAGGGGTGAGTGAGATGGTGGGAAGAAGGCCAAGAAGCAGAGAAGGGGTTTTTGGAAAAGAAGAAATAGCAGGGAGAATCTAGAAATGAGGAATGTCACAGGAAGGGCTGAACTCTCCGGAGAACTGTCGGTGGGGATATGATTCACAGAAAGACCACCGCAATGCTAGGACAGGGATTTCCCACCACAGCTAATTTTCCCATTCATAGATATACCGCTTCTCTTTAGATTTCCCACGGGTTCTTGAGATTGTACAAGATACTCTTGGGAGTAAAGGTCTACTTAGTTGACAAGCCTAGCCCAAGTTCCTCTCTTGTTCTCTTTCAAAGAGAGACAGTAGCTGCTAACTCCAGCTTCTCCCAGACCTTTGCAGTAACCCCACTCCTGGCTGCCAACCACCAGAAACAGGGCCTGGCACTGGATGGCAAACTCAAGCACGAAGCCACCAATCTGGCCTCTAGCACAATGTAAGCTTATAGGCAATTTGCAACCTCTATTTCCTACCCTTACCCCGTCCTACATGCTATTATGCATGGCTCTAAGGTTTCATCTTCAGTTGAGCCTATTTGTCTTTTAAAATGCCCCTCAGCACGCTCACAGACCTCAGAGCCAGCCTCAAGCTAAATGAATACCTATGGGACCGAGAGTAAGCTTAGGTCTTAGGTAATGAGAAAAGAAAATGCAGAGAACAGAAAATCCTTGTTATGTAAGATTTTACAGCCCAAACCAGTCACAGGGGTGCATGCTTATAATCCTAGCACACATAGTGGTCAGCACTGAGGCAGGAGAATCACAAGTTTGAGGTCTGCCTAGGCTATATAGCAAGATCCTGTGACAAAAAATGATAAGCAGGGCGGGTGTAGTGCCTCAACAAGTAAAGGCACCTGCTGCTAAGCTGACTGCTTGAGTTCAATCCCCAGGACCCACATGGTGATGGAGAGAATCAATTCTTGTTGTCCTCTGACCTCCACATGTTTACCATGGCACCTGCACCCCTACATCCACCCAAGGGTACAAAATGGATAAATACAAATGTAATAATAATAAAAAATGAAAAACAAGACACACTTTACAAAAGCTTTACACCTATATTTTCTTCCTAAGAATGCTATTTACATGCACTGGCCAGGTGGTTGGGTTTGTTGTTGTTTCTGAGGTGCAGAGGATGAACTCAGGGCCTTCTATTCCTAACCTTGGCCAGGTATGTTATTCCATTTACACGTAACTCTGAGGCTTCAAGACAAGGGATTTGTTCAAGGTTGAATAATTAGGAGGCAGACAGGATTCTATTATATGTCATCTGACTCTGACCATGTGATCTCTACAATAGTTACTATCTAGAGAAGAGAGAATAGAGTGGAGTGTTAGGAGATGAGAAATGGTGCAAAAAGAGGATATAAAATGAGAATTATATGACAGGAATTGATAGGATTCTTTGATGCCATTCATTTGGTTCTATGCCTTCAGATTAGCATTAGATGTGTTTCTTACCAAAGCCATTTGGCTACCATCTACAATCATAAATGCCCAGTTCTCCCCATGCCTTATCAAGCAACTATCTACAGGCTGTTATTTGTAGAAACAGCCTTAGAAATTATCCAAAGAGCATTATTTTGTAGAGATCAGCACCCCAAAGCAACCAAAAGACTACCCCGAGATCCTTACAGCTTTTGGTATCTTATTTTTCAATCATCAGGTTTTTATTGAGCACTTATTAAATGCTCATTCCTATGCAATACAATCAGGATATACAAAGAAACTTAAGACAGTCTTTGCTTTCAGTTAATATACGGCCCAGATGAGGAACATAGAGGAATACAAATGTAATAGTTAAGTGTTAGTTGCATGTGGTTCATATATGAGTCCAATAGAAGTTAAAAGCCAACACAGGTAACAAGGGATTCTTAGAGGAGATAGAATGAGCACAGAGGAGACAGATTTTACAAAACATTCTTCAATAATAATGATGATGATGATGATGATAATAATAATAATAATAATAGAAGAAGAAGAAGAAGAAGAAGAAGAAGAAGAAGAAGAAGAAGAAGAAGAAGAAGAAGAAGAAGAAGAAGAAGAAGAAGAAGAAGAAGGGAACATTCCAGACTGGAAACATGGCATGAAAAGAAGTTAGAAGATAGGAATTCCACGTGACATTTTGAGGAGCACAAAAGGAAGACAGGTCTGCCTAGGCTATGTTCCAGGTGTTTAGGAGTTAGGGCAGAAAAGAGAGTAGTAGATGAGGCAAGATTGCTTTGGCTCCTGAAAATCAAGCAGAGTAGTTATATTCAATAAGAAAATAGGCCCTCGAATAGACAGTAACACAGTCAAATGGAATTTTAGGAAGAAAAATGTCATCCCAACTGGGCAGAAGCAATTACAGCCTGGGATAGCTTTTGAGAGAAGACAAAGGCAATGGGACATGGTAATAGGAAACACAGGAAGGATTTGGGGGAGCTAAGTTCACTTATATTCCTAATTCCCCAAATTGGCACTACAATGGCAAGTCTTCGACCTGGGATGAACAAGGAGCTTCTGGGGACCCTGGTGTCCTACAAAGTTAGAGTCAACCTGATGCTGTCCTATGGGGGTAAGTGGAGGCTTCCAGTGGGTTTGGGCAGGGCTGGGAGCCAGGGTGTTGTCACTTGTTTTCCTCTCTTTTAGACTGACCCATTCAAGGTTAGTCTTTTTCCAGACTAAGTTCAGAAACCCGTGAACTCAATGAAGGAGTCACTTCCCCTGCGAAAGGTCCATTCTGTTACTAAATTGGCTTTATGATTTCCTCATCCCCAGCAAAACTGGGCTGACTCCTCCTCTACTAATGTGCCATTTCATTCACAGCATCCTCCGAGGTCTTCCAGCCAGGTGAGAAGCTACGGTGACAGGACTGAGGCAAGATGGAGAGGAAGAGGGCATAAGGAGACCAAAAGAGTCCTCAGAACCATGAGGGTCTCCCAGAACTGGAAAAGGAAGGTCAGGGAGTGGGCCCTTTCAGGACATCAGTAACTCCACCTTGGGATACTTGCAGTGATGTTGGTGTGGAGCTGCCCCTGATCTTGATCCATCCAAAGCCATCTCATGGTGAGAGACCAGGTGAGGCTCCCAGGAACAATCACCCTGAGGGTTGGGGACCAAGCAGTTCTTGGAAAAGAGTGGCTTGAGGTGGAATGACGATAGGCAGACAGGATCTCTAGGTTTTCAGGGGACATACAGGGGAGGGGGAGGCCCAGAAAAAAAAGGAGGGAGAAGAGTAGAGAGATTTCTTCACGGAACTGCAGTGCCACTTAGGCACTTCAGTTCCATTTTCCTTCCCTCTCCACGCTTGCCACAGTGGCTACCAGGTAAGTCAGGACGAGGCTTGGAAGCCCCACCCCACCCCCTTGCCTACTGCTGTTTTATTATGGAATTTTAAAAAGCTTCCTCAAAGTGTTGTTTTCAAGACTGAACCGGAAGCATGGTTTAGCTTCACGTCACAGTCTGGTGCTTTCTATAGCCCTCTTTCTCCTGTCTCCTGCTGCTCTTCTTGGAACTGTTCTTCCCCCTCATCCCTTTCATGTTTCCTCTTTCCTTCCCTCCCCAAACCCATTCTGTTGTTAAGGTGTCCTTATGACCCCTTACCCCTTGGCAAAACTGGCTTGGTTGCCCCTTCTCTATTTTAAGCTACTGATTTGGGGTCCATTCTATCCACAGCATCTTTGTCTTTTTTGTTATTGTTGTTGTTGTTTCGAGACAGGGTTTCTCTGTGTAGTTTTGGTGCCTGTCCTGGATCTCTCTCTGTAAACCTAGACCAAGCTGGCCTCGAACTCACAGAGATCTGCCTGCCTCGTCCTCCCAAGTGCTGACACGCCCTCCACATGGGGTGTGGAGGGGAGGGCTGAGAAGCAGGAAAGGGGGTGCCTCTTCAGAATCAAGCATGTGGAGAAAGCCCAGGAAGGGGTTTGCTAACCCTCCATTCCCCTCTGCTGCTTCTGCAAGCTCAGAGGACATAGTCATCGAGGAGTTTATGCAGCAGGACAGCCAGGCCCAGAGCTAGACAGCTCCAGCAGCAAACGGAGTTAACAGAAGCCAATAGCCTCTCTCTGATAATCCTGTGTGGAAGTCTTCACTGCAACACTCTAATAAATTGCTTTGTCCAGACATGGCGGGTGATCGTTGTGCTATTTCCTTCTTGGAGATTACTGGAACTACAGAGAATGATTTGTCTGCTTCAGGCACTAGTACCCCTTCCTCCCCCACAACCCTTATTCACAAGCCTGATTACATTACCTGTACTAAGTACCTTGGCCCTATGAGGTCCCAGACTTTCCTCTGACAAGTCACTTGCCTTTTCTCTCTGGCTTCAGCTACCCTGGCCCCCACTTGATCACTTATTCTTGTGATCACCTTTTGGCCTAGCAGTACCTGGTGCTTACACGGTAAGGAACCCCAGAGAGGAAGCCAAAGGGGAATGGACACTCCCAGGCCTGGCTATGAGGCCAGCTGTTACCAATTGCCACCGGAGAGGAACATGAGGTGATACCAGGTGGTACAGACTCAAGCACAGAAAACCATTGCTACACCATCTCTGCCTGCCCAGTTCAAGGGACGTTTTTGGTCCTTCTAAGGTGAGGCCAAGAGCCCTAGAATGAGGCCAGAAGCTGTGACCTAGAGAGCAATAGGAAACACATATACCCATCTCTATGCAAAGCCAGGCTCATATTTCTGGTCTGGGATGGGCTTTGAGATAAGAAGCTATGAATGCTATGGAATGGATTGGAGAAGCTACTTCTAGGGTGAGTCCCTCTTGTTGGCTGCTGTGGGATGGTCTGTATGTCAAATGTGTTGCTGATTGGTCAATAAATAAATCACTGATTGGCCATTGGCTAGGCAGGAAGTATAGGCGGGACAAGGAGGAGAATAGAGCTGGGAAGTGGAAGGCTGAGGGAGAGACACTGCCAGCCACCATCATGACAAGGAAGATGTAAAGTACCGGTAAGCCACAAGCCACGTGGCAAGGTATAGATTAATAGAAATGGATTAATTTAAGCTGTAAGAACAGTTAGCAAGAAGCCTGCCACGGCCATACAGTTTGTAACCAATATAAGTCTCTGTGTTTACTTGGTCGGGTTTGAGCGGCTTGGGACTGGCGGGTGAGAGAGATTTGTCCTGACTGTGGGCCAGGCAGGAAGACTCTAGCAACAAATGGCGCCCAACGTGGGGCATACAGTTTGTAACCAATATAAGTCTCTGTGTTTACTTGGTCGGGTTTGAGCGGCTTGGGACTGGCGGGTGAGAGAGATTTGTCCTGACTGTGGGCCAGGCAGGAAGACTCTAGCAACAGTTGGCATGAGTTGGCAGGGGAGGGGGGTTTTAGAGACTCTGAAGAAAGGACAATGGTTGGCCTTTCAAAGGGACAAGTACTAGATGTATGGGCAGAAAGAGGTGATATGTCATGAATGTGGTGTGTAAGTAACATGGCTGATCTGAACAACAAATGGTAAGGTTTGTTGGTCTGAACACCGAAAGTCCAATCCTCACATGGAGGGTCTACTGTGCTGTTTACGTAGGGGAGCAGAGATCAGTGTTAGATCAGAGAAGTCATGGGTTCAAGGCTTCTAGTGTTTTGCATCACTATATGTAAGAAGGATATTTAAGCTCACTAACTATAGGTTTCCACTATCTTGCCCCTTTACTATCTTCCTGCAGTAACAGTCAATTGGAATTTTAGGAAGAAAAATGCAGATGAGGGTGAAGAATCATCTGGGGACCTCAATGTGATGTTTATTGAGACCAGTGCCAAAAACAGCTGCAGTGTAAAAAACAGAACACCCATTTCTCTTTACAACACATCCTTTGCACTGTCTCTACTTACCCACCACCACTTACTTTTAGATAACCCTGGATTTCCCCATGATAGCAAGGAGGCAAGGTTCATTCCCCACCCCAGCCTGAAAGCACAAAACCACCCCAGGCTCTGAACCTCTGAAACAGTTTCCCCGCGCTGTCGGTATACTAAGCCAGCTCTTCTGGTATGGCTTCTGCCCTTTCTTCCATAAATGGCTTCACCTCCACTGCTGGAAAAAGGGCACATCTTTCTTTCTTAGCTTTTCTGGGGGTAGGGAGTGTGAAAGCAGAGAAGCAAGTTTCCCTCAGTGTTAAAAGCCAGGACAATTTTTCTGCTTAAGTGGTAATGGAAAACAGAACTAACTTTAGCCAAAGCTGGCTCTTTTGTTTGACTTTAAGTGAAGACCATGTGGTCAGAATTCCTCTTTTTTTTTTTTTTTGGTTTGGTTTTTCGAGACAGGGTTTCTCTGTGTAGCTTTGCGCCTTTCCTGGAACTCACTCTGTAGACCAGGCTGGCCTTGAACTCACAGAGATCCACCTGCCTCTGCCTCCCGAGTGCTGGGATTAAAGGCGTGCGCCACCACCGCCCGGCTGCGGATTGTTTTTTGAGACAGGGTCTGTCAGTGGCTCTCAACCTGTAGGTTGCGACCCCTTGGAAGGGGTTGAATGACCCTTTCACAGGGGTTACCTAAGACCATGGGAAAACACAGATATTTACATTACAATTCGTAACAGTAGCAAACAACGGAAATGATTTTATGGTTGGGAGTCACCACAACATGAGAAACTTCCTAATAAGCATTAGGAAAGTTGAAAACCATTGTTCTATGTAGTCCTGGCTGTCCTGGAGCTGGCTAAGTAGACTAGTTTGGCTTAGAACTCAGATCTTCCTGCCTCTGCTCCTAAGTGTTGGGATCAAAGGCGTGCATCACCACACCTGGTCTGATTTTTTTATGGTTTTAATATTCTCTCCCAACTCCTGTACTTAAGAATAAACAGCTCCCAGAAGCTGTCAGTTTCTTTTACTACATTGCACAGCTACTGGGTGACACAGAGCACCCCAGCATCTTCGTTGATGACTAAAAGACATCTATACAGGATGCAGATCTAAGGCAGCCAGGGTAACTTCAAAGGCCAGTACATTTTTTGCTCTGGTTTCACTAAAATTTGTGTATGTATGATGCTTAAAAACATACCTGGTATAAAAGAAAGCATCTTCAACAAATGGTGCTGGGAAAACTGGATGTCTACATGCAGAAGGATGAAATTAGACCCATATCTATCCCCTTGCAAAAAAACTAGCTCCAAAGGGATCAAAGGGCTATACATGAAACAGTATACTACACGATATAGGTGTAGGAAAGGACTTCCCAATAAGACTCCATCTACTCAAGAATCAAGGCCAACAACTCTCAAGTGGAACGTCATAAACTAAAAAACTTTCGTACAGTTAAAAAATAATCAACTGAGTGAAGAGGAAGCCCATAGAATGGGAGAGAATCATTCATAGCTATACATTTGACAGAGAATTAATACCCAGAACATATGAAGAACTCAAAAAACAAACAGCAAAAACAAAAACAGTCAAAATAACAAAACAATCAACTGAAACAAAAACAACACAAATGACCTAGTCCAAAAAAAAAAAAAATGGGTCTGGGACCTGAAGAATTCTCAAAAGAAAAAAGATATGGCTATGAAATATCTCAAAAGTGTTCATTGTCCCTAACAACTAGGGAAATGCAAATGAAAACAACTTTTGAGATTTCACCTTACCCCAGCCAGAATGGCAAAGATCAACCAAAGAACCTACAGCACATGCTGGAGGGGATGGGGGGGGACGACTCCCATTCATTGTTGGTGGAACTGCAAACTGATGCAGCACTCTGGAAATGAGCAGAGAGAACTCTCAAAAGGCTAAAAATAAGCCAACCACACGACCCAGCTATAACCCTTGACATCTTACTCTGAAGGTACTTGCTCGGCCATGTGCATTGCTGCTCTATTCACAATAGCTGGGGAATGGGGACAGCCTAAATGATGGCCTGAATGGATAATGAAACATATACACTATGGAGTATTATGCAGCTGTAAAAAAAATAAAATCATCAACTTTCCAGGTAAATGGGTGGAACTAGAAAAGATCATATTGAGTGAAGTAACCATTGTAACAATAACAATCAATGAAAGAAAATTAATCAAAGAATATATAAAAGGCCAAGAATTTGAAAGAAATCAAAGAAGGATATATGGGAAGGTTTAAAAGGAGGAAAAGGGGGAGCAAATGATGTAATTATATTATGATATCAAAAAGTAAAAGAATTTTGAAAAATTGTGTATGCACCTGCTTGTCTGTCTGTGCACCGCATCCATACCTGGTGGCTGAAGAGGGCAGAGAGTATTGGATTCTCTGGAACAGCAGTTACTGATGGTTTTGAGCCACCATGTAGGTGTTGGGAATTGAACCTGGGTCCTGTGGACAAGCCACTAATGCTTGTAACTGATGAGGCATCTCTCCAGCCACGATGGCTGGAACTTTTGAGCACACTTCTCCAATACGCTGCCTTTTGCATTTATTATTTACTTACTATGTGCGCACATATGTGCCATGGCATACATGTGGAGGTAGGAGGATAACCTGCAAAAGTCTGTTCTATCATGTGGACCATGGTGCTCAAACTCAGGCCATTAGGCCTGGCAGCAAGGGCCTTCACCTGCTGAGCCACTTCATTGGCCCAGGTTATTGTAAAATCCATGAGCTGGGTGTTGCTGGGTCTCCTCTCCCAGGCTGCAAGCCCCCTGCATTAAATGATATTTAACCCGAAATCCAACTCGGTGTCACTCTACTGGGCCTTGAAGAATCTTTATTATTTAAAACAATAACCACATTAGTAAAGCTAAAATAATGAATGCCTGCGAACCTCATCCTAAAGCAGTGGTTCTCAACCTTCCTAATGCTGAGACCCTTTAACACAGTTCCTCATGTTGTGCTGACCCCCCACCATAAAATCATTTCCGTTGCTACTTCCTAACCGGAATTTTGTTACTCTTATGAACTGTAATGCAAATATCTATGTTTTCTGATGGTCTTAGGTGATCCATGTGAAAGGGCCGTTCGACCTGTAAAGGGGTCGCGACCCACAGGTTGAGAACTGCTATCCTAGAGCAAGAGCTTTTCAGGAAACTTCGATGGGCTTCCCCTCGCTCATGATACAAATCTCCAAAGCCTTGTGCAGGTAGCCACAGCTGTGGTGTGTTCGTGACTACAAGGCTATGTCATATCCAGAAGGCAGAAGAGAGCCCTCCTATCTATCCTCTGGCTCCGACACATTTCCACCCCGCTCCCGTTTTCTGCAATGTTCTCTGCACCGTAGATGAGATGTAAAACTTGAGTGCTGAATTAACAAACTAATGGTGAGGAAAAAAATCTCAACTGGAGGCTATACCGATGTTTCAGTCGGTAAAGTCTTTGTTGAACAAACGTGAGGATATGAGTTTGAATCCCATAGTGCACTTAAAAACGCTGGATGTCTGCCATGTTGGCGCATACCTTTAATCCCAGCAGAGGTAAGTGCCAAGAGAGCCAGAGCTACATAACAGCAAGACCCTGTCTCAAACCAAGGTATCCTGGATGTGGTAGCACATACCTGTGATCCCAGCACTGGGGAGGCAGAGAGAGGAGGTTCCTGGGACTTCCTTGCCAAACAGACCAGCTAAAGAGATTCAGGTTCAGTGAGAGACACTGTCTCCAAAAATAAGGTGGGATGTGATTAAGGAAAGAGAGTTGATTCAGACCTTCACACACACATGTGCACACACACACTCCCTCCTCTCTCTCTCTCCCACACACACATACACACACACCTGTTAACCACAGCTGGGTACAGTGGTGGTGTACACCTGTATTCTCTGAATTTCAGAGGCTGAAGCAGGAAGATGAGTCCAAGGCCAGCTTGGACTATGTAGCAAGAACCTGTCTCAGAAAAAAAATAAACACAAGTTTATTAAGCATGGAAAGAGTCTTGACTTTAACGTTTGGTAGACTCAGCTAATAATTTTGCTGAAAATATCCAAGCTTTTCTTTCTCAGATGGCCACTGGGGGTCAGCAGAACAAATTAGAGGATAAACGTCTTTCAGGAAGACTTGAGCTAATTCTGCCTCCAGCTCTGCTCAGAAGGTACAGTGCCACCTAACAGAACTGAGCCTCTAGCAATCCCTTTAGTATAGCTGGGGTAGGATTCATGGCAAGAGCCAGGTTCTGTGGTGTTTATTTAAAAAGGTACATGTCTAGTTCTCCCACAAAGACTCACTCTCCAGAATGAATTAGGAGACTCAGCTCAGCTCCCCAGGATTCTTGTGTGTGCCTGCATGCCAAAGCCTGCAGATCGAGGGCAACATACAACTTTGGGAAGCAGTTCTCTCCTTCCACCATGTGGGTCCTGGGGAGCAAACTCAGATGGTCAGGCTTGGAAGCAGGCATCCTTTCAACCCAGGGAGTCATCTTGATGGTTCTTCCTAGGACTCTTTTTAAGTCCAAATTTGTACTTTCATTGTCGCAATACCTCCCTCCTTCAGAGAAAAACCCTTTAAATTCTGAAGTGGAGATGGCCCAGATGGGATCTGTGCAGTATTTAATGGTCAGTCATTAAATATCTAGGATGACAGAAAGTTATTTGGGGGTGGGGTCAGAAAAAGGAGGAAGTTGTAAGTTATCACTACTCGAACTACTACAAGTGGGAAATCAGGAACCAGTCTCCTACTGCTGCTTGTGAGAAGAAATGTATCCATGCTACTTCCTCGGTTTGAGTTCCAGATCAGAGAATGTGGGAAAGGAGAATATACTAACTAAATAGGGTGGTGGTGTTTTTTCCAGTGTTTGCTTGTGGTGGGTTTGTTTTTACTCAATGATATTTTATATCCAAATAGTATCACTCAAGCCACATTTATTCAGTATTGTGTTTTTACTTCGGGGGACGAGGAGGAAGGGGCAAAAACAGTGTCTCTTTGGAGTCTCCCAAGTGCATGGGACTCCAAAGTATATGTACGGGGACTGGATGGCATGGCCAGGCAAATCAGATGGAAGGCCCCTCAGACTCGTTTTTTCTACTGATTCCTACAAATAAAATGCTAAGTGACCGATCTGTGGTACCTGATAAATGCCAGTTGCTTTCCAGCTGGCTTTCTACATAGGCTACAGACATCTAGACAGCATCATCTTTCTCCTTTTCCAGAATAAAACTCACCTATGAAACTAGGGAACTCCAAGTACAGTACAGTTTATATAGAATGCAGCTGGTAAGCTGTCTCCCCATCCTCCCCATCCACTAAGCCAGGAAGGCGCTGAGAGTAGAATTTCCTGCCTGGCTTCTCGGAGGGCTAGCCAGCTTGCTCTGGCAGAGTCCACGTGGAGGGCTGTGGGCTGCAAGTCTCTAGTGCACAGTCCTCTCCTTTTGCCGATGATAATCTGGGGTAGGAAAGAACACAGAACATTATTTTCAGGCTGAGCTCCCAACTTCCCATTCCCAACTTCCAGGGTTTGCTGTTATCCACATTAAAAGGAGTTCTAGTTACCTAGAACCCTGCCATGTAAGAAAACAAGTGCCTTACTGTAAGGAAAGAAGCGCACACGCATGCTGATTTCTCGGGCTGTCTTCAGGATTTCAACAGCCTGGAAGGAACACGGCAGCTTGTACAAATGAAGAGATATTACCCAGGACAGAAACATAACAAAGGAATATAATGTGCCACTTCAGACATCTAGGTCACTGATGGCTGCTCTCTTCTGGTACATTTCCCTTGAAGAGATGCTTTCTTACAGATTAGGCTAATCCTGTCCAACCTGTCCTACCTGAGATGGCTTCTTACACAACTACAGCCCATGTGCCATGCTTACTTTGCTGTGCTCAATATCCTGGAAATCCACATCATTCACAGCTAGAACTTGGTCCCCTTCTTGAAGTCCTGCTCGATGTGCATCCGAGTCTGGAATCACCTGTTAGTAAAGGGATACCATATGTGATTGAGATGGAATAGTTTCGGGAGACTGCAGGAGAAATGCAGTGCTGTTCAAATGTGTTATTTCTGGGACACCACAGGGAGATTGTGGCTTGTCAAATGAAATTTGGTTCTCAGTTTGTTTTCGGCCTTTTTTTCTTTTTTGGTTTTTGAGACAGGGTTTCTTTGTGTAGTACTGGAACTCGATCCATACACCAGGCAGTCTTGAACTCACAGATCCATCTCCTCTGCCTCCCGAGTGCTGGGATCAAAAGCATGCCCTTGGCTTTATAGATTCTTTTTTGTTGTTTGGTTTTTTTTTTTTCAAGAAAGTTTCTCTGTGTAGCCCTGGCTGTCCTTAAACTCAGAGATCCACTTGCCTCTGCCTCCAGAGTGCTGGGATTAAAGGTGTGCGCCGCCACCACCACCGCCGCCCAGCCTGCTTTATAGATTCTTATTACCTACTCCCTATCTTCCTGCTTCTGCCTCTAGAGTCCTCAGATTACTGGCATGCCCCACCATACCTGACCCAATGCAATTTTGAGAAGGAAAGGGTGAGTTCCTATTATGTCCATTCTATGACTCTACTGCCTCATCCATTTTCCAGCCATTGGGGTACCAGTGTATTTTAATAAATACCCTTTGTTAAAAGGGAAGTAGCTAGTAATATAGTTTGCCACACACACATTCATACACAGACCTTGGAGATGAAGATGCCTAGCTGGGAGGCCTTTCCTCCTCGGATGTTAAATCCCAACTGTAAGACAGGAGCACAGAATGGGGACTCAGTACAGACCACAAACACAAGAACATTTAGGAGCATCAGTGTACTCAGAAGAAAATGAGACACTATGGAAGTGTCAGCTTTTCTGGTCACCTACTTCCCAATCTACATCTACACCCCAACCATGGCCAACTTCTGGCATGGACAAAATGTAGACCAGAATAGGAACCTCTGTAAGTTTACCTGAGCACCAGGGGGCTTCTTCAGTGTGACAATTCGGGGCAGAAACTGGGTCAACTCATTGTTGTAGTCTGGGTGGTACACTCTCTGCAAGACACAGAAATCTCAGAAATCTTTTTTTTTTTTTTTTTTTTTGGTTTTTTCGAGACAGGGTTTCTCTGTGTAGCTTTGCGCCTTTCCTGGAACTCGCTCTGTAGACCAGGCTGGCCTCAAATTCACAGAGATCCGCCTGGCTCTGCCTCCCGAGTGCTGGGATTAAAGGCGTGCGCCACCACCGCCCGGCTAATCTCAGAAATCTTATTCCCAGTCTTAGATGTCACATCTACCTTCCTTTAGAACATTAATAAATCAGCTATAAGTCAGGAAGTGGTAAAGTCATAGACTCAGTTTACATAGTAACAGTCTAAATGAGATGTTCCATCTCAGGACTAGCAGCCCCATAGATCACTATTCTTTTTTTTTTTTATTTTTTATTTTTTTACTGACAGGATGGAAACTAAGGTTGTGAATTTTCAGAATTCACTTGCGTGCTCTGGCAGGATGACTCTACAAGAAGTTTCCAATGGATCCCTGTTGCTTGGAATTCACCTAAGATTCATTCTCCATTGAGTTGCATAACCCTGCCACTTTATCTTTCGTATATCTCATACTTGGAGGTGGGTAGTCCTTATTCAGGAATGCAGATGGTTCCCACCTCATGAGGAGGAATCCATGCTGGAGGATTCTCATAGGCAGGCAGGAAAACCACTGGGTAGTCATCATAAGGGATCCGGGTGTCCATTTCAGGCAAAGCCCTGAAAAGGATAAATCAAAGCAAACAAAAATGATTTTAAAAGAACCAAGCTCTCTTAAGTTTCAGAAGGCATCCCATCCTAAGGTCATCCATTTATGGGCCTAGCCCACACGGAGGTGTTAAGACTGGAGCGGGAAAGGTGGCAAAAAAAAAAAAATCTATCAATTTTTCTAAATATCTAGATGCCTAGGACCTTGTTTAGCACTCTAATGGCATGTTCTCATTTCTCACAATTCTATAAATACTGGTGTCACCACCTTCAACCTAGGGATGAGGAAATTAGGATCGTATCTACAAAGGTCTACTTTAAAACAGCAAGGGAGTGCCAACTCTTAACTATCCCATAGGGCTTGGGGACAGGCACCGTCCCACTTTCTCTAGAGGTGCTTAGTAAAGGTGCTGTCTACAGGTGGACTCCGTCAGGACCGACTGCCTTCCAGATCCGGGTCCCGCATCCCGCCCGAATCCCGCGCCCACGACCACTTCACGCAGCACCACCTCACCGGCAAACAGGCCTCCCTCCGCGGCGCCTCGGCTCGCCGCCAATTCGGCCCAGGAACCGGAAGCGGATGCTTGCTAGCAGCGAGCACAGGCGGAGCTCGCTTTCAGCGAGCCAGCTCCCAAGCCCCCCCGCCCCCCCCCGGCGTCACGTTGTGCGTGCTCACACGCGTGCTCCTGTCACAGGCCGTCTGCGCTCCGATTGGCTGTCGCCTCTGGGATCAATTTGAAACTTGGCGGTTAAAGCTCCAGTTGGAACAGGGCGCCAGGGAAGATCCGGGAAAAGGACATTTAGCTTGGTGAGTTACGGGGCCGCGGGAGCTCAGATCCTGCCCTTTCATAGCACGCTAGGGCTTTGGCGTGGTTGCTGTGTCCGCTGGAGTTTATTGTCGTTTGATTTCAGATAGCACAGTGTTGGGACTGAGTAGACGGTGGCCAAGTCTGAGAGTGACCCGAGACAGGGATCCCGCTGGGAGGGAGGCTGCACCGCCGAGTTCCGAGGTCTCCTACTGCCTGCGGGACTTTCCACTCCGGCCAGCCTCCTCCGCGCCGACACCTCCCGAGCTGCGACCATGAAAGAAGAGGTGAAGGGAATTCCTGTAAGAGTGGCACTGCGTTGTCGCCCCCTGGTCGCTAAAGAGATTAATGAGGGCTGCCAGACGTGCCTTTCCTTTGTGCCCGGAGAGCCTCAGGTGGGTAAGAGTGGAGAGCCCTCTCCACAGCTGCGGCGGCTAGGCAGCAGCGAGGGGCGTGGTCTGGGTGTTTAGCTCCGCCCCAAGCCTTGTCTCTTGCCTTTTGCAGGTGGTGGTTGGTACTGATAAATCGTTTACCTACGATTTTGTGTTTGACCCCTCGACTGAACAGGAAGAGGTCTTTAATACAGCAGTAGCTCCACTCATAAAAGGCATATTTAAAGGTGAGGCTGTTTAATTCACTGACCTTTTTTGAGCATATATTATGGGTGGGTCATATAGGCACTACAAATAGGAAGGGCTGAAACAGATTCCATCCTTAAAAAAGGATGGCGGTGGTGGCGCACGCCTTTAATCCCAGCACTCGGGAGGCAGAGCCAGGCGGATCTCTGTGAGTTCGAGGCCAGCCTGGTCTCCAAAGCGAGTTCCAGGAAAGGCGCAAAGCTACACAGAGAAACCCTGTCTCGAAAAACCAAAAAAAAAAAAAAAAAAAAAAAAAAAACCAAAAAAAAACCCTCACAGCCTAGTAAAATTTGTGAAAGTCTTTCTACCCTTGAAGCTAGTTTTAGATTGTCCTGTTTATCTTTGACCTAGACATATTTTTGTTGTCTTGGGATCACAGCTCTGAGTATGGTGGCACACGCCTTTAATCCCAGGGTTTGGGAGGGAAAGGCAGGCAGAGCTCTGAGTTCCAGGCCAGCCTGGGCTACACAAAGAAACCCTGTCACACAAACACACAAAAAAACAAAGCAAAATATAGACTATATGGTCTTTATATATAGCTGATGGTGTGTCAACCTGCTGGAGTCCCGAGCCACAGCATTCAGATAAGTAATATAGCCTCTGGGCTCTGAAGGAGTTCAAAGTCCAGAGGGTCAGAGAACAGGGAGAGGACTACGTAAGTGAGTTTGAAGACATCGCAAACAAACCTTAAAATTTTACACGTATTTTAAAATTTTTTGTGTGATTTTTCTTTTCTTCTTTCCCTAGAGTTTCTTATATTCCAGGCTAGCTTTAAACTCATAATGTACCCCAAAATGGATGTGATGGTGCATGCTTTTAATCCCGGCAGGCAGAGGAAAGTGAATCTCTGTAAATTCAAGGGCAGCCTGGTCTGATATACACATATAGGGTTCCAGGCCAGCCCTACATAGTGAGACCCTGTTTAATGTGTAGCATGTGTGAATACACACAATGAGTCCTACTGTAGAAGTTTCACTACTTTCCTACAAAGTGGTTATGAAAAATAGAAGGTTGGCACTAACTCCTTTTAGGGGAGTTTAGGTGAATTTCCAAGCATAGGGAACTTTTGAGATAGGTATTGAATGATGAGTAGAATTTTTTAGATATTTTTTTAAAGCCCTTAAATACTATGACCAGTTAATAATCTTTACTGCAGAAGCTAAGGTTTTAATAGCAGGATTCCAAAGAGAGTAGAACCTCAAAGATGTCTAATTGTTATTTTAGTACAGTGGTTACTCATTTTTTCTAATTATTTGAGAATTTCATACATGTATATAACGTGTTTTTATCAAATCTCCTGTCTCCTCTCCTCTAATTCTTCCCCTGTCTCCAGCACATACACTCTTTTTTTTTCCTTAAACACAAAGTCTGTTTAGTGCTGCCAGTATGTAGAAACATCTTATTGAGCGTGGGTAGCTTCTGCAGGCCAGATCCCTGAAGAAAAGTGATCCTTCCTCTAGTAACCATCAATTGCTAGTAGTTCCTCAGCTAGGTGTGGGACTTCGTGAGTGGCACCCTGTATCCCTGCTGGGATTTTGGCTGGCTTGATCTTATGCAGATCTCAACAGCTATTCATTTAAAAATTAGAACCATATCATATTAGCGCTTTTAAATTATAAAATACATTGCATACAATCTAGCTTAACTTTTCATCTAAAGAAAAAATGCTTTCTAGCAATTAGATGAACTTCCAGTGTCTTGTTTGTGGCAGGGTCTCATTTAGCCCAGGATGACCTCAAACTAGATATGTAGCAGAAGCTGACCTTTAACTCCTGATCCTTCTGTCTTTCCCCCTAAAGTCTTGGAGTTCTGCGCATGCACCACTACAACCACCTCCAGTGTCTGTTTATATTTTTCCTTTGACAGAGAAGTCATAGAATCATAGAGTAGCCCACTTGAGAGCTGCTTTCTTTTGGACAACTCCGTTTGCTTGTTTGTTTGTTTTTACAGTTATTATTTTGTGTGAGTGTGTGTCACAGTGTGGGAGAGGGGAGTCAGAGGACAGCTTACAGGAGATGGTCCTCTCCTACCATGTGTGTCCCAGGTATTGAAATCGTTGTGCTGAACTATCTATCTCATCAGCCTTTATACAACTTTATTTATGCAACAAGGATCTCAATACTGAAAAGCTATTTACCACCCAGTAATTTCTACCCAGTGATCTTTGTTCAACATTCTAGATAAGCTCAAGCCTTCTAAGCAACAGCTAGTCAAGTATGTTTTCATCCTTTAAAAGGGATACCATAGGTACTGGACTCATGGCTCAGTGGTTAAGAATGCTTACTGCTCTTGCAGATGACCCAGGTTTGGTTCCCCACACTCACATCAAGCAGCTCACAACTACTCATAACTCCAGTTGCAGGTTATCTGATGCCCTCTGGCCTCCACAGGCACCTGCATGCATGTGGTGCACATAAACTCACACAGGTACACACACTCATAAATAAGTTCATCACAAATTGTTCAGGAAAAAAATGAGTTCAAGGATCACTAGGTCAACAACTTATCACAAAGGATTATTGCTGAACTACAGTGTTTTCCCTGTAATAGAGTTAAAAAAGAAAACTTAAGCCAGGCAGTGGTCGCTCTTGTCTTTAATCCCAGCACTCAGGGAGGCAGAGGCAGGTGGATCTCTGAGTTTAAGGCCAGCCTGCTCTACAGAGGGAGTTTCAGGACAGCCAGGAATACACAGAGAAACTCTGTCTCGTAAAACCAAAAAGAAAAAGTCAAAAAACAAATAACAAAACTTAAATGATGCCATGTCTCGGGGTATAGTGAATATCTAAATGTATGCACATGTCTGTACAGGTGTCCTTGCTCATGCATGTCTTTTAGAGGTCAGAGGTCAACAGGTGTTTTCCTCCATTGCTCTCTATCTTTTTTTGTTTTTTGAGGCAGGGTTCCTCACTGAACCATTTCAGCTAGACTGACTGGCTGGCAAGTCCCCAGGATCCACCTGTGTCTGCCCTCCCAGTGCTGGGTTTACACAGATGTATGTTACCATGCCCAGTTTTTTTTTTTTTTTTTGGTTTTTCGAGACAGGGTTTCTCTGTGTAGCTTTGCGCCTGTCCTGGAACTCACTTGGTAGCCCAGGCTGGCCTCGAACTCACAGAGATCCGCCTGGCTCTGCCTCCCGAGTGCTGGGATTAAAGGCGTGCGCCACCACCGCCCGGCCATGCCCAGTTTTTATGTAGGTACTAGATAGCTGAATTCAGGTTTTTAGGCTTGCACACCAAGCAATTTGCCCACTGGGCCATTTCCCCAGACCCAACCTTTATTTATTCATTTATTTTTTTACATTTATTTATTTATTTGTTTAGTGTGAATTGTGTGTGCTGATGTGTCACAATGAACATGTGAAGGTCAGAGAACAACGTGCCAGAGTTAGTTCTTCCACTGTTCGGGCTCTGGGGACCAAAGGCAGGTCGTCAGGTTTGGCAGTAAGTGCTGTTACTCACCAGGCCATCTTGCCAGCCCTGTTTTTTTTTTTTTTGAGACAAGGTCTCAATGCAGTGCAAGCTTTCCTGGAACTCACTAAATAACCAGGGATGACCTTGAACTTTTGGGTCTCCCTGTGACCTCCCAAGTGTCAGGATTCCAGATGTGCACCTCCGTCCTTGGTTTGGTTTATTGTGTGCTGGGAAGCAAACCAGGGCTTTTGCATGCTAGGAAAGTACAAAGTGAGCTCTACTCCCAGACTAAATCCCTTGTTTTAGAACTTGAACATGGTAGTTCCAGAAACATTGCAAGAACAGCATAAAGAAGCCATTTTTCCCAGAATCCTTTGTGATAAGTTGTTGACCAAGTGATCCCTGAATACTTTACTGTTTCCTGTCGAGTTGCATTATCACATTACTACCATCTAACCCCAGACCTAGTCACGCTTTGCCAATTGTTTTATTAATGTCCTTTACTAGCAAACGGATTGAGTTCAAAAATCATGTTATTTAGTCCCCAAGTATGAAGTAGTTCTTGAACGTTTGTTTACTGTGTTCTTTTAAACTTTCATTGTCTTGATACTTGAAGATTACAGAGCACTTACCTATATGTTTCTGTTTGCTTTTATCTGACATTATGATAAAATTTGAGCTGTGTGTTTTTTAGCCAGAAACACCACAGGTGTGCTTCTGTATTCTCACTGATTCCTGTCAGGCAGTATGGTTTTTGATTTGTCTATTACTGCTGATGTTC